CCTCGCCTCCTCCGCCTCCTCCGCCTACTTCGCCTCTTCCGCCTCCACCGCCTCCTCTACCTCCTCCTCATCCTCATCCTCCTCGGCCTCCGCCTCCGCTCCCGCCTCCTCCTCCTGCCAGATGTCTGACGTATTTTATATTATCTCGTGTCACTGTTGCTCACCCAGCTTTGGGCACTAGCATTTGGGTCGACGACTTGTCCCAACGGGTACGAGGCTCACGGCGCGCGATCAGACTTTCGCTCGTCCAAGGCCTCTTGGACACTTGTCGTGCCCTCACCAGCGAGAGCCTCACCGTTTCACCTAAGAGCGTGGTGCTATGCACAAATCTGGCAGATGCGCAATTCGTTTCAGAGCGGCTTCGAAAGGCAGGTTGTCAGGTCAAGCCGTGCACTCGGGCTGGTAATTTGGGTGTGGATATGGGTGGGGGGCAAACGGCATGTGCGACAGCAAAGGGTCAAACGTGTTCAAAAAGCCGCTACCATGCACAACAAAGTAGTTCGATTCGCACGGGCTGGCAAAAGACATCATATTACCAGTAAACTTACACGTGCTGGCACCATGGCTGCAGGGCTCTATGGGCATGAGCTCCATGGAGTATTCGGCACTCATCTCACGAGAGCTCGTCGCCAGATGGGGCATGCCTGTGGATCGGGGAAAAGGGGGCGATGCTTAACCACGTTGCTCGACTTACGTAGTCCAGGAGGAGATCCAGGATATACACTTCCCAAGGCATGTCTCCGTCTTTGGCTGCAACAATTTTTGACCTTGCCAGCAATACGGCCAGGCATCATGCTAGCATGGCCGAAGATCTTGCAGCGTCTGCGAGAGGCTCCAGCAGGTCAACGTTCTCGGCTGGTCCGCGGTCCCACGGGAGCTGTTAGTTTACATCTTCTGGAGGCCGGGTGGAATCCTGAACAACCTTGGCTTTGGAGGGCTCCTGAGGACCATGAGGGGGACCTGGAGATGTGGAAATTCCCCCCTTCAGAGCTGTCTGGGAACATTTTGGACGACGACCCTGAGCCCTTGCTGGAGGATTTTGGAGCTACTATCCAAGCCAATATGTGGCGTGAGGCTGCCCGCCATTTTTGCGGCGAAGGTATGCAGTTCGGAGTTGATAATTTGTCGCTGCGGAAGCTTATTCGGCAGCTCCAGTCAGTTCGGCAAGGCACGCGGCTGGCTGAGATGATGGTCTCGATTGCAACTGGTGGGTCCTGGCCGCGTCAGAGGCAGCAAGATGAAATCTCGGGTGAACATGAGGTTTTATGTCCCAGGTGTATCACTGAGCCTGAAACTCAGTTCCACAGATGTTGGGGGTGTTCTGAAAATCGGGGGGCCCAGGCTTATGACGACTCTGAACATCTCCTTAGCGCTGCATATGCACAGCACGAAGCCGAGCCCTGTTTTTGGCTGCGGGGGATAATCCCTGCCAGGTGGACCGCGGTACCTCCCCCACCCAAGGAGGAAATGTGGCATCAGGTTGGCACCAACTCGACAGACTTACCTGGCTGTTTTGGGACGGGCACGGAGGCGCTTCCCTTGATTGTCTTTGGAGATGCTTCTGGAGGCAAGGATTCTGGGGACCCCAGGTTCATGAGGGTTGGCATCGCAATTACTGTGTTGAGTTCTTTTGCTCCGTGTGCCATCCGTGCCTCAGTCCAAGGCCCACTTGTGGGACGTGTGCAGTCAGTTCCCAGAGGGGAAATCAGAGCATTTCTTTTGGCCTTGGAGTGCACTGAGGATCACTTGGTATATGTGACGGATTGTGAGGCGGTCACAAAAGGGTTTCATGAGCAGATGCATGCACGGCCTCACGGGGCCAACAAAGATCTTTGGAATGCCATTGGAGGTCGGCTTAAACTTCGGAGGGGCCAGGTTTCCGTGCTGTTTGTCAATTCCCACCTCACAGGTGAGCAAATCGTTGACGCTGGAATCCCATCCTGGTTGGCCGTTGGCAATCACTGTGTAGATGAGTTGGCCGTTCAGGCGGCCGACGCATGCAGATTGTCCGACGAGGTTCGGGCGTCCATCATGATGATCGAGCGCACGGCGTGGCTCGTCAGGCACCGCCTCCTGAGGGCCAGCCTGGACACGCTGCAGGCCGAGGAGCGTTGCGGAGCGCCCCCGAGGGTGAAGGGTCCTCCTCCCCCTCCTCCTCCCGCGCCCTCGGTCGTCCGTGCGCTCGTGTCGGAGCATCGCCTGGACGATTCTGGACAGAGGTGTACTAGATGCCTCGGATCTGCCACGAAAGCAAAATTGTCTGAGTGGCTCCCCTTCCCCATGCTTCGAACCAGCTTTTGTTTCTGATAAATTCAGAGGCCTTCCGATGGGGGGGCGGCTCCACGTTGCTGGGGGGTGGGTGGACAGGTCGCACAGAATGCGGCTCTCTAATGCTCAGAATGTTTGGTTTTGCTCGGGGTGTGGCCACTTCGCTCATCAGCAGTTGAGAGAGTTGGCCAAACCTTGTTGTAATCACGTGGCTCCTCATAGGAAGGAGTATTTATCCAGACTTGAAGTTGGCAAGTGGCCCAAGGTGCTTAGCCAGGCTGAGCAACGTCGCCGCTTGTAGTCCGTTCGTTTCGACCACTACGTGGGATAGCTCGCAACTCGCAACTCCCGCCTCCTCCTCCTCCTCCTCCTGCCCCTCCTCCTCCTCGTCCTCCTCCTCTTCCTCCTCCTCCGCTTCCGCCTCCTCCGCCTCCTCCGCCTCCTCCGCCTCCTCCGCCTCCTCCGCCTCCTCCTCCTTCGCCTCCTCCTCCTCCTCCTCCTCCTCCTCCTCCTCCTCCTCCCCCTCCCCCTCCTCTTCCTCCTCCTCCTCCTCCTCGTCCTCGTCCTCGTCCTCGTCCTCGTCCTCCTTCTCCTCCTCCTCCTCCTCGTCGTTCTCCTTCTCCGCCTCCGCCTCCTTCTCCTCCGCCACCTCCTCCTCCTCCTTTTCTCCTCCTCACTCCCCCTCCTCCCTCCTTCTCCTCCTCCTCCGCCTCCTCCTCCTCCTCCGTCTCCTCCTTCTCCTCCTCCTCCTCATGCTCGTCCTCTCCTCCTCCACCTGCTTCTCCTATTCCTTCTCCTCCTCCTCCTCCTCCTCCTCCTCCTCCTCTTCATCCTCCACCCCCTCCTCCTCTTGATCTCTCCCTCCCTTCCTCCCTCCTCCCCTCTTGGGTGCGTTCCCGCGCACGTGAGGGTGGCATCGAGGAGGGGGGGGAACCAGCCTGGCCTCTCAAACGGCTCCAATGATTTCCAACTAGCCGGCGTAACAAGCATGAGAAACATGGCCAATCTGCGTTCCTCCTTTTTTGAACTAGCTGGGGACTGAACGTCCACATTGTCGACTTCGGCCACGCAAGGCCTCAACGACCCTCGATGCTGAATTGCTACTGCCAGGAGGTCTTCTGCGGGCAGCTGGATACTATGGGGCATGGTCCCAAAAATAACTCATCTCAGGAGCAGCCAAGTCCGTATCTCGAGACTGGGAAGCGCGGGGAACAAGAGAAGACAGAACAGGAGAAGCAGTTGCTAGCCCGTCAATGAGACCAACAAACCGAATGCCAGCAGTCAAGCGCGACAATCGCGGTGTTTCTGTGCCCATTCAATTAGCGCGCGTCTATTGCTTCGCTGCCATAATGGGCGATATGGGGGAGGGGCGGGGGCGGGCATAACGTAACGCGCTACCTATCCCGCCGTGTGGCTCTGGAACCACAACGCCTGTGTTTGCTGCCACCGTGCTGCATCTACTCATGCTCTGCTTCTACCGCCTCCCGAACCAAAACGTTACACGAAGATGGTCTCAAATCTGGACCGCACTGCCCGTCCCGATGCACGCTGCACGCGCACACCACAACGCTCTCGTGCACCACAGCACCCGAGTGTACTACAGCAGCCGCGTCGTTCACCGCAGCGCCTGCGCACACCGCAACGCTTGCGAGCACAACCCTTGCGTACACCATACCACCGCAACGCCTGCGTGCGCAACCCTTGCGTACACCACCATGAGTTGGAGGGGGGAAGGAGGAGGAGGACGAGGACGAGGACAGAGGGGAGGAGGAGGTGGTGGAGGAGGAGGAGGACTTCCTCCCCCTCCGATTTATGGTGGTGGTGGAAGAAAACAAGCCCATCACCACAACCCCCGCGTTGGCTATGCACTCCTGTTGTAGCAACGGGTTCCGTGAGGGGCCTGGGCCCCCCAGCGGCGCCTCTGGCGCCTCCTTGTGCGCTCTGCTCACCAGGAGGGGGTGTTGCTAGAAGTGTCCCTGGCCCAAGGTACCCCCAGGATTCTCGGGGTGGCCCAAACGGCCTCCAGGGCAACCCTCACGAGGCCCAGAGGGCCCCAAGGACTCCTAAATGGAGCGAAAAGCTGCGGGCTCCTTGGGCCAGGGGCCCTTCTAGCAACAACCGACAGGAGGGGGGGCCAGCGCCGATCCCGGAAGTCCTCGCGGAACGCAGAGACATTGAGATTATGCCATATTGCTTCGACATCCAGAAAGTGTTCTGCCTCCGGGACTTGAGGTACAAGCGCGCCGAACGCTTCAAGAATACAGTCGCCCTGCGATCGATAACTACGCCGACGACGACTACGACGACGTCCGCGACGACGATCGCGACAACTAGGACGATCACACTCATGAAGACAATGCCAACCAAGACAACTTCTACGACTCCGATCCCGACGACAACACGACGACCACGGTGACGACCGCGACGACGATCACGACGACTACAGCGATGACCGCGACGATTACGAAGACTTCGACGTCTACGATTGCAACGATGACGGTCACAACGCCGACCACACGCCGACGACGACTACCACTACGACGACCAAGACTCACACGACGACCGCGACGATTATGACGACGACGACAACGACAATCACAACCACGATACACCATGACCACAAGAACGACCACGACGACGATTACGACGACACCCCTTCGGCCTCCACCCTCCTTCCTCCTCCACCTCCTCCTCCTCCTCCTCCTCCTGATGCGACTGCTGTTTGACGGCGGCTAGGCAGAAGGCGACAGCGGCGACGTGCTGCGTGGCTCTGCCGCGGTCATCGGAGAGTGGCATGCGTCGATGCCTGCCAGACCTGCGGCCGAGAAGCGACATCTCTGTACAATCGGAAGCGTGGCCAAAGTGTAGACCGTCAGCGTGATGACGTGAAAGGGTGTCGGGAAGGAAGACATGGGCTTCACGAGGCGTGGTACTTTCCGCAGCGGCAGTGCGCCGCGAGCGAGCACCGAGGTGCTTGATGACACACTGGAGCCCGTTGTGTATTCTTCGCGGCGGCTGCCGTGACCCACCCCGCCCCCCGCCCCGGGTCACGTCACGATTCGCGCTGGCGCCGTCTGGGAGGCAATCCGAAAGCCCTAATTAGGTGACGATGTGTTTTATGTTTGCCCCCCTTCTGTCGCAGAGAAGTCCCTGTGAAATCTCCAAATCGGGAGATCCCTGGGAAATCAAAATCTGTGTATTGGCCATTCCTGGGAAATCCAAAAAATCAGGGCCGCCGCAAGTGGCAGCGCAACGGGTCCCCTCGCTCCCTCCCCCCCCCCGCCCCAGACACGCCCGTGACCCAGACCCCCGACGCCATGAGTTCTGCACGACGTCGACCCTCAGAGGTCTCGACCCATTCCCCGGGACCGGTTTTTCCTCTTGAGTCGTTTCTTGACGGCCCCGAGGGCCGGCAAGGGCCTCCCGAGTCCGAAAGTACGGAAGAACCTCCCGCCGTGACTTCTTCATTGCCCGAGGGGGTCTGGGGATCGCCAGCGGATGACGAAAACCGGCCTCCTGTCTTCAAGGGCGGCGGAGCGCGTGCGGGAAGCGCAGGGTTAGGTCGGGCATGTCCCCTTACATGCGGATTTGGGGGGAAAAATAAAACATACCCCAAAAAACTAAAACATATGCCAAAATGGTCGAAGACATATTCCCAAGACCATTGTTTACCTATTTTTGAATATTCCTCCTGTAGAGGGGCAGGCCCGACTTGGGCGCAGGGGCGGGGAAGTGCCGACGGGGTGCGGTGCGCGACCGCACTCTGGGCCGCTGTTGTGTGAAACTCCCCGGCGCGGGGCCTCCGCGCGCGCTCTCCCTGGCGGTGTGCACAGGGGGGTGGGGGGAGGGGAGACGGGCTTCTTGGAAGGAGGCTGCTGCTTCTAGAAGGCGCCGGCCTTGCCTCCATAGATGGGGCCCGCGCCTTCTCAGAAGCAGGGGTGCTTCTACGAACCCCTCCCCCGTCCCCAGACCCCCGACGTCATGCTTTCTTCATAACGTCGGCCCTCAGAGGTCTCGACCCATTCCCCTGGACCGGTTTTTCATCCTGCGTTTTTGTTGACGGTCCCGAGGCTCGGTGAGGGCCTCCAGAGGCCGAAAACCTTGAGAAACCTCCTGTCAAGATATTTTCCTCCTCCTCCTCCTCCTCCTCCTCCTCCTCCGCCTTACCCGAGGAGGTCTGGGCCTCCCAACCCCCTCTGCGCGTGACTATATTTTTTTCGTGCGCACCTCCCGGGCGCGGGGCCTCCGCGCGCGCTCTCCGGGGCCGGGGGATCGCACCGCGTCGGCGGCGCATCCGCGGTGCCGCGGCGGCGCCCTGGACGGAGAGGCTCGGGCTCCAGGACGCTCTTCCCAGACCCCCTCGGGCAACGAAAAAACATTTTGATTCGCGGGTCGAGAGCGCACCTCTTCCGGTCGAAGCTGAGCGGGCCGCGCGAAGCTTGAATTAACAAAGAGGGGGGGGCAGAAGGAGAGCGGCCTCACGGCAAGGCCAGGAGGAGGCAAAGCCTCGGGATCAGGCGGTGCCGAAAACGACGTGCTTGCACAGGAACGCCCTGTACAGGTCAACGAAAAAACATATATCGGCCGATGCGGCGTGTGAGTTTCAGAAGTCTCAGCTGAGGCTCTGCTTCAGCATGAGCTTCAGCTCTGCTTGGGAAGGGGGGGAGAGGGGCGGGACGTCATTAACTGACGGATTCAGTGCCTGTCAGCCCCCAGGAGAGGGGGGGGGGGAAAAGGGGGGGGACAGGAGAGGAAGAAGAAAACAAAAAAACAAAAAAAAAACAAAAAAAGAGAAAAAAAAAAAAAGGAGAGAGACAGAAGAGAGGGGAACAGGAGAGACAGGAGGGGGGGGGGGACGAGGGGGGGGGTGGACAGGAGAGAGTGGGGGGGGGGACAGGAGAGAGGGGGGGGGTGGAAAGGAGAGAAGGGGGGGGCCAGGAGAGGGGGGGGGGACAGGAGACAGGAGGGGTGTGGGGTGGGGGGCCGGGATCATCACCATCTCCATCACCATCACCATCACCATCGTCACATCACCATCACCATCACCATCACCATCACCATCACCATCACCATCACCATCACCATCACCATCATCATCATCATCATCATCATCATCATCATCATCATCATCAACATCATCATCCGGAACGCCCCGGATCGGCGGCACTGACCGGAGGCCACTACCATGTGTATATGTATGTATGTATGTATGTATGTATGTATGTATGTATGTATGTATGTATGTATATATATATATATATGTATAGAGATCTTGATGTATATCTGTATGGCGGGAGGTTGTTTCAGTGTTTTCGGCCTCAGGAGGCCTTTGCCAGGCCTCGGGACCACCAAGAAACGGCTCGGGAAGAAAAGCTGGTCCTGGGGGCTAAACAAATCATGACGTCGGGGGTCTGGGTTCGTCGCCGATGCAGCGGCGATACGCGGCGCGATCCTCTAACAACATCTGCGCCAACCAGTCTACGGGACACCCGGGGAAGAGGGGAAGAAGGAGGACGAGGAAGAAACCCAGTTCACAGCGGCACTGTGAGCGCAATTCGCCTGTCACCAAGCGGCGTGCCGGGAGTACCACCCCACAACCCTCTCACTCCATGCTGTGCTGAAAAGTAAATTTATATGGTGCTGAGATTCCTGGCTAACGAGCTGGCTCTTGCGATTGCAGCTCAAAAGAACGCAAGCATATCTCAGAGGATCAGGCACTTTCAGAAAGTGCTACTCGAGTGTCACAGGAGAAGTAAGTAGGACGAGGAAGATGCACTTCACTACAGTGCATTGCTTGAGTTCGGAAGCTTATCACGGGGGCTGCAACCGTCGTCGCCGTTCAGGGTTACGCCTTCGGTATGGCAGAATGATCTGGATATCTCGCGAATGGGATTCCTTCAAAGTAGTATGGCCCGTCTTCAACAGTCGCGAGGTCACGCGAGATGACCCCGATCGGAGTGAAGCGGTAGTCCCCCGATTCAGCGTACTCCCATGACATCAAGTTTATGTGCTCCTGCCAGTGGGGGCATCCAAAATAATCTGTTTTGGCTTTGTCCACCAGAGGGTTGTTCGTAATCAGCGCATGGCCCAAGGCCCAAGATCCATTTGTAAACAAACCCAAATACTTCGGAGGGAATATCATCATCAAATCACTGACCCTGCAATCGTGTCGAAAAGCCAGCTCGCTAATTTCTCGAAATGGAACGTTTATCTTGCTCGGTTGAATTGGAAACGCATCCAAGGGCTTGAAAAGAAGCAAGTCAAATCGTGTGAGAAGAATCGCATCGTATCTTTCGGGGGCAGCGATCAGCTTCAAGGCCTCCACCCTGCTGTCCACACCTGCTGCATCGTAGGAAGATGTGTTTGCAATTTTGTATCTGACTGGTTTGTAGTATTCCACAAGATCGGCTTCCATCGATTTATGTGAAGGCCATGAATACAAATACACATCCACTGTGATTCCACGTTTTGCCAAAGGGCCGACAAGAAGATCATGATGGTTATCTTTGGCGGTCCTCCAATCTGTCGAATGTCGGGTACCGAACTTGAACCTCGGATTCCAGACCGACGTTTTAAATTCTGCCTTGCACGGAGTACGGTCATCCTTCGAGATGCATAGCTTGGCAGGGCCGATCCTGTAATGATGTCCAGCATAGACAAGAGCGACCTGTGACCACTGAGCGGGTAGCCGAAGCTCCGACGAGACGTGGACTCCCAAACTGTCGACTGCCTTTGATACTCCCAACGCCCTGGCAAGGAACGACACCTCCAACAACAGATCCGCCACCGTGCACCCTGGCACGGTGAGGCGCGGCAGACCTACCCAGACGTCCGGCTGCTCCAATTTGCTCGATGCGTGGGCCCCGGAGGTCTGGGCCACTTCCCCAGGGCCGATGTGTCGTCCTGAGTCACTGTTTGACGCTCCCGAGGCCCAGCGAGGGCCCCCCAAGGCCGAAACCTACCAAAAGCCGCCCGCTCCATTTTTTCGGGAGCGTCGGATCGCTGGGCCCTGGCACGGCGAGGCGTGGCACACCTGATGACAAGCGCTGCCTGGAAAGATGTTGCATTATTCAAGGACCCCCCCGCTCATCACGCCGCCCTCACGTGCGCCGCCGCCCTCTCCCGAGGGCTCTTGGGCGCCGCTTCGCCCCGCTGGCGCTCTCCACGGCGTCCAAGATGTCTTCCCAGACGACCAGGGCAAGCCACCACGGCCACCAAGATAATCCAGCATGCCTCCAAGACAACCCGAGATCGCTCCAGTACGGCCCAATGTGGCCCCAAGAGGGCATAAGAGGCCCCCAAGACGCCCCAACGACGGCTCCACGAGGACCCCCAATAGAGGTCGAAGAGATCTGCCACCGTGCCTCTGGGCACGGAATGGGCGTGTCATCAGGTCCTTTGCCTAATCCCTGGAGCTTCAGTCCTCAGTCCTGAGAAGCCTTTCAGAGGCCTGGACACCAATGTCCAAAATCTCTCGGGGCTTCCCGCGTACCCTCGGGGCTCCCCCGCGGCTTGCCGCGTGAATGTTTCGGGCCCAAAGGGGGCCCCGAGACGGGCTAAGAGAGCGTCACAAGGCACCCAAGACGGTCCAAGAGGGCCCCGGGTAGCCGACAAATCGTGTCAATACGCCCAAGATGGCCTCAAGATGGCCCAAGAGGCCCCTAAGACACCCCAAAAGGCTTCCAATAGGCCTCCCAAGAGGCAACAGATAGTGTTGTCCCTCAGGTGTCTGAAGGATTTGGGCGTTCTCGCCGTTGCTGTTCCCGAAACTCCAAGGCGGCCAAAGAAGTCCCCGAAGACCACCGCAAGAGGTCTCCAAGAGGGCCCCCAGACGGCCCGAGAGCGCCCCAAGACGGCCGAAGAGGATCCCAAGACGGCCCAAGACGACCCCAAGGCGGCTCCACGAAGGGCCCAATAGAGGGAGCACGAACCACAAATCCGAGCGATCCGCCCCAAGAGGCCCCCAGGAGGCCCCCAGGAGGCGCCCAAGAGGCCCCCAAGGGATCCAAAAGAGGCCCCCAAACTGCCTCCAAGAGGCCTCAAGACTGCCTCCAAGAGGCCCCCCCCCACCACGAGATCCCAACGAACATACAATAGGCGTCATACCCACAATCCAGGCATAGTGACAGGGATGGGCCGACAACATGCGGAGCCTGCAAATATACACGACCATCACCACCAGTCGGCAATATAGTAGTAGAACATCACGCGCGCGATCGCCCCGACAGGGGCCGTCACTGCGTTCCTGCGCCAAGCGCAAGTAGCGGTCACGTGGCCATGCGCGCAGATGGCGGCCGCATGTAGTCAAGAATAATGTCTGCCAAACACCCTATTGTCAACCAGGGGTGGCGATTAAAAATCGACTGCCCCCACAAACCCCAACTGCACATTATGTCAATGCGTTGCTTGTCAGGCACAACGGCGGCGAATATCTGCGGGCCCCTGGCAAGAGGGTTCCAACATGACCTCAAGACGGCCCAAATGGCTTTCAAGGTGACCCAAGAGGTCTCCACGACCATCCTCCAAGGCCCCACGCAACCCAAACAAAAAACACTACGGACTCCGAGGGCGTCAAACTGTCCAATAGCCCCCGTCAAGCGGCCCAAAGATGTCCCGAGAGTCTCCGAGAGGCCTCCAGGACGCCCACAACAGGCTTCCAAGAGGCCACCACCCAAAGAGGTCCCAAGACAGGACGAGGGAAGAGGAAATGAGGAATCTGACTGGAGACACACCGACACATCGCGTGAAAGGGCCTCACATCTTACGGATCGCCCAAACCGGGGTCACGATGTGTTACACGTTACGGCTCCCTGTGCCCTCCTCAAACAGGCGCCACCCAGAAGGCTACTGTGCTGGCGTGGTGGCTGGATTTGCCGCAGGCAACTGTAAAAAACTTAATCATATGACACACCATCTGCATACGTCTTTCTTAGAAATTGAGCCTGCTGGCATACAACGTGGAAGGGTAATGTCTGAACAAGGTGGGCGCCCAATGTGACTTGAGCCAATTGCGATTGAGCCTGGCCATCGGTGAATACGATTAATCCAACCAGCCATCTGGACGTGAGTGCTTTGGCGAGTTTCCTCATCCCTTTCGGGGAGGGGTTTACCCCTCCCCCTAACCCCCTCCTCCTGGACCTTGGCCGGGGGGGTGACCAGCTGGAGCGCCCAAGATGGCCCTGGCGAGAAGGCAACACCTACTGAGTCTGCTTAGATTTTGGACGCAGTGTTGCCTCCTTTAGAAGAAGGAAAAACACGAAAAACATGTACCTTTGGCGCTCCGTGCGGATTTCGTGAATCTGTGCTGGACCCCCACTCCCTGGCGCGCCGAGGGCGGCGCCAGAGGCGCCGCCGGGGGGTCCCCGGCGCGGATCCAGGAAATCCGCGCGGAGCACCAGACAGTTTTATGTTTATGCCGTTTTTGCGTCTTCGGCTCCTTGGGTTAAGTCGGGCATGTCCCCCTACAGGCGGATTTCGGACGAAAACTGAAACATACACAAAAAACCCAAATATGCTCAAACATTGCAAAAAATCGTCCCCAGATTATTTGTGAATGTTCATTATGTGGAAGGACACGCCCGACTTCATCATTGGGGGGAGGCCAATATGGCACCTCCCGTTCTGTGACCGAGCTCTTCCATAATGGCCGCCAGCGCTCCCAGGAATGCTCCAAAAAAAAGGTTCCGCCCAGGCGCCCAGGAGAGGCAGGACCCCCCCCCGAAGAGGCCCCCGAGAGGCTCCGCGAAGCGCTTCCCGAGGCCCCTGCGACCCCCCTGGGGGGCCCCAGTATGTCGCCAAGAGCTCCCCCCCCCCAAGACGCCCCACAGCTCCTCACTCGCCTCCCCTTCCCCCTGTCCCTCCCTCCGTGTCTCCATCCCCCCCTCCTCCTCCTCCTCCTCCTCCTCCTCCTCCTCCTCCTCCTCCTCCTCCTCCTCCTCCTCCTCCTCCTCCTCCTCCTCCTCCTCCTCCTCCCCATCAGCATCATCATCATCCTTTTCCTCTCCCTCCTCCTCCTCCTCCGCCCCTCCAATACCCTTGGAAGTGATCCCAAGTATGCCAGGTTTCGTGACACGGTGACTTGCCAATGCGTCCCAGGAGTTGCACATTGCAACAGGCCATCACAAGATTGTCGAGGCTTGATGTCGCGGATACCCTCGCTGACGAACGCGCTGTCTCCTGCCAGGTTCCGCCTGGCGTTGTTGCCGATCACAATGACCTTGGCATGCAACATTGTACGGTTCTCGAGAGTAATTCTTGCGTGATCCTGGAGTGCGCTGCTCTCAAAGGTTGAACCTGACAGGCGTCGCGATGAGTCGCAGTTCAATGCTGCGGACAGGCGAAAGCGGGTGCACCGAGGCAACTACCAACTCTCACTGCTGAACCATGCCGCGGGAAAGCGGTCCTCCGCCCGGTGTTGTGAGCAGGTCAATGGCACGCCCCCCTCGCTCCGCGCTCGGCTCTAATCCACCCGCCTTGCCACTTGAAAAGGGGGTGGCGTCGGGTGTGCGTGAGCGCGTGTGCGGGCGGGGAGCGGCTCCATGCTGCCATCGCGAGGGTAGGGCTCGTGAGTGGCAGGCGCATTTCCGCCAGAAGTGCTGATCTTTGAACTTGAAATTTCGTCAGCTCAAACCCAAGCAGGCCAGCCCGAGTGTCCTCTTGGATTGCGAACCAAGCGGTTCACCCCTCTCCTATGTTCTGGTCCAAAGGTGGACTCTCTTCTTCTGGCGAGGTGCGGGTCTTCGGCCAGCAGCTCGCCCAATCTCTCTACTTGAGGGAGCGTTGCTGTTGCCCTGCTCGAGCCCCGTGCCCCACCAAAGCTCCGATGGAAATTTTACTGCGTTTGTGCACGTGCCCCTCCCCAGCAGGACGTTGCGAGCCTGGCCGCTTGCCAGGCTGTCTGCGGCGGGGGCGGCGGCGGCGGTCTCACCATACGATCCAGGTCCTGACGCATGCTTGCAAGGCTCAGGATCGGTGTGCGCAGGGGTGCACTTTGCACCCCGCGCCATCAAAAGCACGAGGGAGTCTCCCCGTCGGCCCAAAGAGGGAACACCCATGACCCACTGAGCGGAGCGACGACGAAAATCGTGTTCTCCATGTCACCCCTCGGACAGTACTCCAGATTTCGTAATAAAAGGGAGGGGGTCTGGACCCTCCAAGACAAGCCATTTCAGACCCCCCCCCGTGGGAGAACCCTCCTAAACATCGTCCGCAGACCCCCCCAGGCCCTCCAAGATAGCCTGGAAGAGACCCCCCCCGAAATGAGACCCCCCTCCCTTTCTTACGAAATCTGGAGTATTCAAAACAAGGGAGGAGAGAGGAGGCGGAGGAGGCGTTTCCCTGCGAGTCGGGGGGAGGACCCCTTTGTCCAGCCATGCGCAGGCGGCACCCCCCGCCTCTGGGGGGCGGGGGGGGCAC